ATTTACATATTCATTTTTATATTTGGTTATACTTCTGCTTCCTTCTTCCATCCCTTTTCCTCTGTCCATTCTTTCAATGTTGGTGTTCCTCCAAGCTCAGTCTTCTCACTTTGCCTGGCATATAGTATGTACTCAATAAATGGTAGCTGCAATTATTATCACAAACTTTCCCACAGCAACCTGTTCCGTTCCATGACTTCAACCACCTCCTACATTCTTAACTTTCTTTCATCACCCATACAGACCTCTGTCAAGAGCTCCAAACCTACAGAATGACCTCCTGGCCCTTTCTTTCTTTTTTTTCTTTTTAAAAAATATATCTTTATTGATTTCAGAGAGAGGAAAGGAGAGGGAGAGAGAGAGATAGAAACACCAATGATGAGAGAGTCATTGATCGAGCCCACAACCCAGGCATGTGCCTTGACCAGGAATCGAACCCCGATCGCCTGGATCCCAGGTCGACCGGGCCCTCCTGGGCCTTTCTAACTGGATGTGCTGTAGGAGTCTCAACTCAGCATGTCCAAAGTGTAACTCCTTTATCTTTCTCCTCAAAACTAAGTTAGTTAAATAAGATAGTTAAAACTTATTTTATCAAATCAACTCATGAAATGTTTATTCCAATTACAGTTCATCCTTAGCTTAGTTCTTTTTATAAAAAGTGTAGTATTTTCTACCTCCTCTTAACAAAAGAAAAAACCTGTTTAAACTTGTGATGAAATAATTTTAAATTCAACTTTAAGATGTGTAAGGAATATATGTTTGTTTTTAATTCTTTGGGGGATACATGAATAAAACCATTTGAAGAGTATGTTGCAGGAAAACCACAGGTAATTAGCAGATTACCACAGTGTCAGTGTATGGGTTGAATATGAAGGATTTTAGCCTGGAGGCAGGGAGCCAATGAGAAAACTGGAGACCAGGCTAGAGATGAAGAGGGATTTACGGTGGTTGCAATAGGAATGGAAAGGATTTAGAGAGAAGTGAAACATGGTAGAGTGACAAAACCTGGTGGCAGAGTAGATATAGGGAGAATGAGACAAGGAGCAGTCTGGGATGATCCTAAGTTTCTGATTTTAGTGATCAGGTGGGTGTTGATGAAGAAGAAACTATTAGGAGGAGGGGCAGCTTGTTGACTGGCTTAAATCAACAGGTGCAGAAGTTGAGGAAGATGTCACCTGGAGTATCTGAGGGACGACTCCATAAAGAAGGGAGGATTGGAACATTTCCTAGATCCAGAATAGGACCGTGAAGATCAGGGAATGGGGATCATGATGTTCCAAATGCGTCTGGGTTAAGTATCTTTCCTGTGTTCTATGGAGCGCACACCACACAGCATGGCAAACGCTTGCTTGATTCAACTCTCCCTAGACCACGAGCTCCGTGACCACACCTGTCTTGTGGACCACTGTATCCTCCCAGCGCTTTCCATGGTGCCCTGGCTCATTAAATATTTGTTGATTTTTGTTATAAACTGTTGAATGATTAAATGAAGGCATGGATGGATGGGTAGACAAATGAGTTAAATTCCACAGGATCTCAGATGATGTTTGAATCTCTACAGTTTCGGAAAGCATTTTCCTATAGATACTGGAGGTGGGGAAATAAAACAGTGGGTACCCATGTTAAATTCAGCCCTGAAGCCCGAGAGGAGCTCGGGCGCGCACCCAAGGGAGAATTTAAACGGCAGAGCGGCGGGAAAGAGAAGGCAGGGAGGCCCAGGGTAAGGGCGCGCTGCAGGGTCCGGGGCCAGAGGCGGGCCGACCAGCTCACGAGCCGGGCGCAGGGGGAGCTGGGTCCCGACGAGGCGCCGAGGGCTGGCCGGTGGAAGGCCCAGGCCCCCTGGCCTCC